CTCTCAGCCTCGACCTCTCCTCGCTCCGCAATTGGAATAGAATCAATCACTACCCTCTGGTCTGGTAACAAAACAGCATATATTTGTCTCTTAAAACCTTGGTAACAGCACACTCTTAATCAACGCTAAGATTAAACCTTACAGTTAATCGCAAAAGAGTTCTTTACACGGCTCATCCACGTGTACGATTACACTTTTTGTTTTTGTTTTTTTAGATGTGATACCACAAAGAAGAAACTACGAGGGCGTCTACCTCGTTGTGTGAGAAACAACGCCATGTTTTTTTTTCATTTTTCTCGAACGACACTATGATAAAGTTTCACCATTCATCTTCGAGCACTTCTAATTACTGCGAAAACGCCCCGCGTTTCCGGTCCGCGTACCTTCGTCCCGCGATCGTAACGCGAGAACACGCAACAACCATACACGTCTGAAATATTTTTGCGCCCGCGAACAAAGAGACAGAGGGAGGGAGAGAGTGAGAGAGAGCAAAAGAAATTAAGGGATGGACGTGGATATGAAAGATGAAGGGTCGTTCAGAGACACAGAGGGAACCCTTTTGCGTCGAGACGAGTGCAGGGATTAAATGTAGTTTAGCTGGCTCATCGAGTTCCTTTGTGCTTGGTTACACACGAGGGTGGAATGTGACGTAGAAGCATAGAGAGATTTATGGAAGAAGTTTCGTCCGCTCTTTGTGATAAAAGGGACCAAAAATATTCGAGAAATTTCAACCAAAAACGTTGCAGTATTTTTTTTTTTTTTTTTGTAAAAGAGACTTCTTCGTGGAGAAAATTCTGCAAGAATTTGGAGAATTTAAGCGGAACGAGACGGTGATTTAGAGATGGAAAATTCTATCGGTAATCCGTGGACAATTTTCAACAATTTCCATAGTAGAGAATTCTTTGCAAAGAATTTTTGAGGTGTAGAGAAGGACGAGTGTATCGAGTTTGGAGAATTTAGGAGGAACGAGACGGTGGTTTAGAAATGGAAAATTCTATCGGTAATCCGTGGACAATTTTCGCAGTGAAGAATGTCACTTTTCGCAGAATTTCTGAGTGGTAGAGCGGAACGAGGTTCATCATTGGATGGAGTACGAGAAGCTTACGAACTATATCGATAATTATCGCGAGTAAATTCACGATGTCGACGAAGCGTACGTTCGAACAGGAGGATCCAAGTAGAAAACTATGAGAATAGTTTACGTTTACATCAAGCGTACAATGTTTTTTTTTTTTCTTTCTTTCTTTACAATCTTTCTTTTGCAATCAGTTGTCTTGCAAATAATCGTACAAATATACACGTGTAAATCGCTGCAGCGCACGGCGTGCTCTCTTAAAAGTAACAAAAGATTTCGTTCACGTTAATCCCTACGCAGGGGATCGACACACTTCTTTTTTTTTTTGTTTTCTTTCTTTTCTGGTTTTTCTACAATTACACACGCTCTCGTAAGTTTTTTTCTTTCTTTATTCGATACCATAGACAACTGTCGTCGTGTACAAGAACTTCTTGTGTCCTATGTGCGTCTGTTTTCTAACGTACCCGTGGGGAGGGGGAGAATAAGTTATTTAGGTGCGTTATTTTTTTTCATTATATGTTATGTCTGTTTTAACCTCAGAAAGCGTGAAGAGTCGCTTCTTCTACGTTCAGGTACTTCTGATAAGCATTTTTTCACGAAGCTTCTTCGCTGCGATTATTATTTTCTTCATCATATGTACTCCTTAACATCGAACAGAATGCACGATATTTATTACTCTTTCTTTCTTTTTCTTGTTTTCTACCTCTATTCGTTCGAATATAATTCTTCAGAAGTTACAATTTGAAGAAGTTTTACTTCTCAATAAGCGCAAACGGAACCTACGCTGCTTCCTATGATACGCATTGAAAAGAAGAAATTGTTTAAATCCCAAAAGTAACAATAATAATAACCATAATAATAGCAATATAATCATAATCGTAATCGTAATCATAATAATATTGATAATAATAATAATAATAGCTAACAA